CCTGCTGACTTCAGCAATGACTGTGATGTAGCACTAGCAACAGTAATTGTTCTGTTTGCAGTGAAAATAGTACAGCAAGCTTCAGTTCAACTTGTATGCTGCATATTGCCTCATTGATTTGTTAATGATTCTGGTACTCTCTTGCTAAGTACAAGTTATTAAAATGGAACTGATCACAAAAAATCATTGTCATGTGTACTTCTGTTTGTACAAGAAAAAATCCTGAAAGTTCAAATGGTCTCTCTGCACTTATACCAAGTTTGATTAATGCCTTGTAAAGATGAATGGCAGGAATTGAAAATAGTATTTTAGATGAGTGCCTTGCATCAGAGCACTAATGTTACCCTCTCCCAGCTAGATGCATTTTGTGTATGTGTGCAGATTCCTAGGATTGTTGGAATAAGCCACCAGTTTGTTTTTTCATGTATTTAGTGTTTGGATTTTTTTATACTTGTGTCTCCTTTGCAGAGAGATGTCTTTTGAATCTTTAAGTTTCTGTTTGGTTTGAGTTGTTAAGTTACTGCAGTTCTGCGAATAGACACTGACTATACATTTTGATAATTTGGGAAGCACACTGTCTTGATAAAGTTTCTTAGAAATATCAAACCACGTGAGAATTTCTGTTGAATGGAGTAAACTGATTTCAGCATCTCCTATCAAAAAGCTTTCCTCTTTTGGTTAAGACATTATTGCATTTTAAATCTGTGGTGCTGCTACTGAAAGCTTCTTTGCATTTTTCTTAAGCGTCTCTTTTTTCTCTCCCTTCCCCCCCAGCCAGCCTTTAGTATATGTATGTATACATATGTATACATACAGTATGGCTTGAAGTTGCTCTTTGAGAGGCATTCTTTTAGCAGCCATGCCAGCTTCTTCAGCTTCTGCTGCTTGATGCTGAATCTTTAATTATGCTAGAAAAACTGCTTATGCAGCTGCTCAATAAAGTGGATCAGGGAACTGAACTTGGTTAAGAATAATCAAACCTGGTTACTTTTTTGCCTTACTGCTTTTAAGCTGGATCATTTCAATGAGCAGCTTTGCTAAATGGCCTGCAGTCATATTGATGCAAATGAATGGATGATATTATGATAAGAATGAAAGATGGAAAAAACCAGGAACTGCTTAAGGCTTTATTTTAGCAGCTTCTAAAAGGGGGGAAAAAAAACCCCAAACCAACCACCAACCAACAAACCTACCCACCACAATTCCTTTTAAAAATAGGGCTCTTCACTTCCCTGCTTATAAAAGTGTCTGACAGACAAAAAAAAAACCAACAACACAACAAAAAACCAAAAACCAACCCAAAACAAACTCGGTGCTGTAGAGTTGTATAAACATAGAATCTCCTCCTCACAAACTCCCCAACACATGGAACAACTTTGTAGCAGATTAGATTTTAGCAAATGTCTGTTATTTAGACTTGAGGACTTTCCTACTCAATGTTAAATGCCTAAACAGTTATTGGAGCTCTGCTTATGTCATCCCAAGCACCATATAATTCAATAACATGGGAGTATGCAGGGTGCTAGGGTTAAGGGATGACCTGATCGTTGTCTGTAACTATGTGATTAGAGATTACAGACAAGGTGGAACTAGAGTCTTCAGAGGTGTCCAGTGGTGAGACAGTGTGTACAAGCTAGATGGGCTTCAGTGATTATTCTGTGATTTTAATACCTCCAGGATGATTGACAATAGCAAGAAAACTGTTCTCCCTTGCTTTTCAAGTTAAAAGAGTACAGAATGCAACTGGCTGTCCTTTTACTGCTGCATATTTTGTTCATCTGCTAACTTCTTGTTACTGAGGCTGCAGTAGTATGTCAGAATGATGTTTCACTGTGCTGCATATCTAATAATTTATTTTTTTTTCCCTTCAGCAAATTTGACAGGCCATGCAGAGAAAGTTGGCATTGAAAACTTTGAACTCCTGAAAGTTCTTGGAACAGGGGGTAAGGTGCACTGTTTTTCTAAGTTGAATGTTTGAAGCAAGACTCTAAAATATAATTTTGTTTTGGTAATTGAAACATTATTTAGGAAGATTTATCACTTTCATATTGCATAGCATAATTTTCTTCACTTTTTTTCCTCACAAATACTGTTTAAATTGGAGGTAATATGTTCTAGTTTACAGCAGTTTTTGAATATACACTTAAGGAATATAAGTGGCTTGAGATTTGTGACAATTTAGTACAGTTTGTGAAAAATCTGATCTTAGTTAAGGTATGGTCTTGATAATTCCATTAAATTTTCAGACTGTAGTTGGAGAAAAATAGTAATGTTAGTACATTATTGAATAAGATGTTTGACTCTTTTAACTGTATGTTTCAGAGTTCGCAATGGCTTGGCTAGTCTTTTTCTGTTCTGTTCAAACGCCAGTAATTTTTCAGATGGAATATGTTCACAGTTGTACTGTGGATTTCAGCACAATGTTGGAGCTTTGTACGATGTTGTTGGAGCTTTGTATGATGTTGTAGGATTGCTGACTGTAACTAACAAAAGAGCTTTGTTTCTCCTTTGTTAAAAGGACACATGCACAGGCCTGTACACAGACCAAAACTAATGGCTTTTATTCTTCTTTGTGTATTTGTGGTTTCTTTTAGTCAGTATTAACATCAGATGCAGTGTTGAGTAGATTGGGATAATCACAAACGTGGAATATCATCAAGGTCTGTAGAAGTTTTAAGTTAGTTATGATATTAATTTTTGTTTCTCCTTTGTTAAAAGGACACATGCACAGGCCTGTACACAGACCAAAACTAATGGCTTTTATTCTTCTTTGTGTATTTGTGGTTTCTTTTAGTCAGTATTAACATCAGATGCAGTGTTGAGTAGATTGGGATAATCACAAACGTGGAATATCATCAAGGTCTGTAGAAGTTTTAAGTTAGTTATGATATTATTTTTTGGGTGTTCCCAGCCATTAGTGGCTGGTAGTGAGGCTATAATTGCATAAGCTGCTACTTCACTGAAAAGAGCTGTCATCACATTTAGCTGTCATACAGATTCTTTCATAAATTCATTAAGCCCTTAAATTACCTGAGAGTGTATTTTTCTGTTTCTGAAGTAATTTTTTAAAAACTTAATTTTAACAGTCTTAAACTCAACCCTGACTGTTGTATTTTAGTAGTTAGGGCTAGAGGTGAGGACACTTTAATATTCATAGGTAGAAGCAGCTGTTAGGAAGTGGCCAGTATTGGTCTAAGTGGGGCTGCCAAAAATGAAATAAATTTTGTATTTATATGAGGATTTCTTCTGCTGATGGAAACATTGTCTGAATTTTTAATTTTGTGTGTGTGTGACAACCAGTCCCATACCTGAACTTCTTTTCTTTTTTCCTTACCACTGTTGTTTGTCTGAGGTTACTTTAATATTACAGCTATTGCATTCAGAATGGAAAGTAAGTTTGGGTGGTTTCATAAGTGTCAGTCTTCAAGTTCAGACTGGGAGTAGCCTGACCTCCTTGTACTGTCTTCAGGCATTACCTCCAAAATACCCTTTAGCTATTGTTAGACTGCTGTCTGTCATTCATTGCTACCTTCCACACCCTCTCTTCTTCATGAACAGATTAGGCAAATTTCTCTTGGCCTGGGGTACTCATAATCATAGCATGTAGTCCTTAGGCCCATAGTGCAAAGCTATCCTATGCACTCAGGTTAACAGGGTAATTTCTGAGTGACCGCTTTCAGAAAACGCTACTCTAATGGCTTGACAATGGATGTTGTCAGTGGATGGTGTAAGTGAAGAAGAAAAAGCTGAGCAAGCATCCTGTCTGTCTGCATCCTGCTCTAGTAGTCATGTTGCTCCCAAAACATCTTTTGTCTTAGTAGGCAAGCTATTTCAAGAACTCACTAGAAGATTCCTGCAAACTTCAGGAACCCAAGGACACCTGGATATCCTGGAATGGCATTTGTAGAAAGAATAGTTGTTTGGGGTTTTTTGTCAAGGAAATGCCAGTTGCACTTTTTTGATGTGTAATTTCAAACAGCCTGAGGTTCTTGCTTTGGAAATCTAGACCATCAGAGCATTCAAGAAGCTTTGTTCAGTCTTAAGAGTATCACAGCTAAGACTAGTGCACTAGGTGTGTCAGAGGTTGTTGCTTTCCGATTACTGGACAGCATTAAATGCAAGTGACCTGATCAGAACAGGAAGACCTGTTTGCTTTTGAGGAAGTGGCCATCTGTGAATTGTCAGTGTTTGCAGTAGCATGAAATCACTGAAAGCAGAACTGGCATTAACTTGAAGAGGTCCTCTAATTGCTTGGCCGAAGACACAATCAGTTATACTTGCATCATCCCTGGCAACAATTAATTCTTGAAAGACTCCAGTAGTAGACATTCTGCAACCTTCCTA